ATATATATATATATATTTAATAAGTACGTTTTTTAATTTTTTAATTTTTTACACCCCAACATTCAATTTAATATTTTCTTCTTGTCCATACACCTCTTTTTTTCTCTCTTTCAATTTTCACATACATCTATGTATTTTGTCTCCACTCTCCAACTAGTATAGTAGGTAATTTTAATTCTTCTAATTTTTACATTTCTCTTTTCCTCCTCCCTTCTTTCAATTTTCACATGCATCAAATTATAAAATTGATGCATGACAACATTGTAGGCATGTGTGACTTACTTAAAAGTGTCGAAGGTGTCAAGCTATTTTTTAAAACACCTCCTTTCACACTTCTAGAAACCTTAAAATAAAATTTAGTATTTTAGAACATTAATTTAATATTCCAAAAATAATTTTCAAAATAATGAAATTAATGTTTCAAAAAAAAAAATTCAATTTTTTTTTTAACTTTTGGAAAGAACATTTTGAAATACTAAATTTAGTATTTCAGAATAAACTTTTCAATATTATGTAAAACAACCAACTTTCAAAAAGTACTTTATAAAAATATATTATTTTACATAATTCCATAAAATTCTTTATATAACAATAATTTTAGTATTTTAAAAAATATCATTCCTATTGTTCAAACTCAAACTCATTGTATCATCAATATTTAATGAATATGAAATTTGTCTCATCTTTTTTCTCGTCAAATATCAAATATACTTATACATATACCCATATCCTTACCATGACGTGACGAACCCCTAACCACAACATCCGACCCCAAGCCATTGCATAACTAACCCTTATATAACTAATAAATATAGCTAAATTTGATGCAAATATATATATTCCTCTTGACAATTATTTATATTCTTTAATCATTTCTTATTTGTAACTTTAAAAAACACAGCCTCATATATAACTAAATATAGCTAAATTGATACAGATATATGTATTAGAAAAATACTAGAAAGTAAAAACACCCTCATTTAAACATTTTTTATTATTATTGAATATTTTTAAAATAACAAAATTTAATAAATTTCACTCTCGATTTAATGACCTTCTATCTAATTTAATAATTTTTATTTAATCAATGTTGTAAAACAAGTAATCAATAAAAATTAACGTATCGGTATATCACACACGGTTACTAATTAGTCAACCGTAAAAAGGCCTAAAAATGTGTGCATGATCTCGATCAATTAGTACAAAATATGTATTTAAGTTTTTAATTTATAAAAAAAATTAATAATACTTAATTATATGTTATGTAAAAATTAATTAGAGATTACGTAATTTATTACTATCTAATAATTTTCTTTAAAAAAATAAAAAATAAATAAAAAATAAATAAAAAAAAGGCCGTAGGCAAAGAAAAATAATTAAAAAAAAATACTAACATCTGAAGTCTAAACATCGACTAACGGAATATCCAAAAAGAAGAAATAGGAGAGATTCTATTTGTACAAGATTTGTTTTTTCTCCAAGTGGTATCTGCCACAAAGTTTGTGACTCTGAATACGTAGTTCCACTTTCAGCTTCATCTCATAAAGTACGTGTTACGTGAAGGCATGGCAGGGGTGATTTCCCATTGCCAAACACGCTACGGTCTCTTTCACCTTTTCAATTCTAAATTTCATCTCTACCAAACACACCCTTACTCGTTATATATTTCTCACCTCACGTCTTTATTCCCGTAACTCTTTTTTCTTTTTTACTTATTTTTATTTACTCTGTTTCTTCTTCTTCTTTTTTTGTCTTCTTATCATTAAACACACCCACACCGTACACGTTAGAAATCAACCAGTCATAGAATAGAATTGAGAAAATTAAGAAAAAACCAGCTTTGTCTTTTATGAGTATAGGTTTTGTTTGTATTATCAGACTTTATTTAAAACATGAATTCACTTTTGCTGAATCACGTACTGTACTTTTATATGACCCAAGAAAGTATCATTTTAGAAAGTAACTTGTAACTAAGATCAATAACTTACTTGTAACTTACTATCATTTTATAAAGTATTAAGAAAATCAGCAAGGGCCAAGGAATATTATAAGAATAATAAGTGACATTATTGGCAATACTGACTGCACCTCCATTGGTCAATTTTCTGTCGATCTGAGTGCAGACCATTTGCTTTACATGATATTTATATGATCAAACAAATGGTTTGTGCTTCTTTAGGAAGACATTATTTTGTCATTCATACATGGATGGCGGAGGCAGACATGTCAAAACTAGCAGAGAGAGAATTCTTATATTCCATTGGAGCGATTGGCATACTCTTGAACTAATGCCCCAAACAGAGATTGTCTCTGAAGCAAGTTGGAAGGCTTATCAAACTCTTTCGCTCGCCCTAATACAAAGACAACAAGAACATATTTAAGATAAGAGGATCATTTAGTGAGCAATGCAATAATGCAATGCAAAGATGATATCATACCTGCATCTACAACTAAAACTTTGTCACAGTCCATAACTGTGGGTATTCTGTGAGCAATACTGATGATGGTACATGCTGCAAAGTCCTCTCTAATGATATTCTGAATCACGCCATCCGTTTGAGAATCAACAGAAGCAGTTGCCTCATCCATGAACAAGAGCCGGCTTCTCTTTAGTATAACTCGCCCAAGACAAAGCAACTGTCTCTGCCCCACACTCCAGTTCTCTCCGTTATCAGCCACTGAAAAGTTCAAACAATTTTCCCATTAGTAAATTGATGAAACGGAAGCAGCTCAAAGAAACATGGTAAAAGTCTCTACCTAAAGAGTCAAGTTTTTCAGGCTTGGCAGCAACAACCTCTTTTAGTTGACAGCGTTCCAAGCTCTACACAATAAAAAGTTATTATTAGACCAATGCTTTGAAAATGCTCATGATGCAGGTAAATGCATTTCAATTGGCACATGTGTTGAAAAGTCCAAATTGGCAGCTGAAAGCAGAAATCAAATTTAAAACTGTTGTTTTTAGTCCTTATAATTTTTAAAAAGCTTGTTTTAGTTCCTTAAGTCACCAATAACATATTTAAAAATGACTAATTAAGACAGTTATGTAATATCAATCAAATTTAATGTGATATTTTAACTAATAGACATACCAATAGGTAGATTTTATGCAATAATATTTGATAAATTTCTTAACAAAATTTGAATATAAGAACTAAAATAAGATTTTTTTGAAAATACAGAAACTAAAAACAATAATTTTAAATTTGAGGGACCAAAAACAGATTTACCCTAAATTTGAGGGACTAAAAACATATTTAAACCTTATTTTTATTTATAACTTAGGACTATTATTTAGTTTTCTGTTTATCATAATAAGACATATTCTCATCGAGTACATTTTTTATTAACTTAAGTGTGATCAGATTTATCTAAATCCATAAAAAGACACGTAAATATCTTAATAAAAAACTAAAATATATAAAATATAAATAAAGTCATTTTCTTTTCTTTTCATTTTATTTGATTTTTTATTTTTACCAATTTATATCACATGATATATATATATATAGAATACATGTACAATAAAATTATATCAACTTGTATAACAGATAAAATTAAAGAGAAATTTAAAATGAAAGATTTATTTAAATAATTATTGTTGGATAAAAAAATTAAGAGACTTACTTTAAATAATTAAAATATGAGATTAAGAAAACTAAACTGACATATATAAATACAATTATAAACACTTAAAATTATAATTAAACCTTGTAAAATTTTATCTGTCATCCTTGTATGGAGTGAGTGAAAAAGTGATTAAGGGAATCCGTTGTTAGTTAATAATTAATATTAATTGAAACCTGTTTTACATGATAGGGGGGGCAAAGGTATCGGTTTTCAATGTCATAAACATTAAAGAAAGAAGGGAATTGGGAATTTGGACGGGATGCGGTGGATTTGACATCCATTTGTCAACACTAGAAAGAAAAGTTAACAGAGATGGAAAGTGACCAAATTCAAAGAAAGTTGATGGCAGAAAACAATTGAGAAGAGAAAGAGAACAGAAGTGGAGCAGTATTTGGGGTTTAGTATTTTTGAATGGGTGAATGGCAGAAAAGGCGAAGCTGAGTAGGGGCATCAGCGTCTGAAAAAATCATAGGGTCTAATGAGATTACCATAAATGTAAAAAGAGAAATTCTACCGAGAGAGTACCGGTACAGTTTTTTATATTTTATATTTTTAGTAATTTATTTAAATAATATTTATAATATTTTATTTTTTCAATTTTTAAATTATTTAGTCATTTTATTTTTATTTTATATATTCTAATTTATTTGTAATAATATTATTATATATTTAAATAGTTTAATTTTAATAATTTTTTAAGTATATTTTTATCTTTTCACTTAAAATTTTTGAAAAGAGTGAACATATATCTCCAAAAATGATTTCGTGCAGTTATTAAAAATAAAGTCACACAAATAAAAACTGTCATGTATTTATAAATAAAAAAAAACTTAATTAAAAATTTAGTTACAAATTTTTACATAATTCATAAAAAATAATGAAATAATTTCATGTATTATTTAAGGGATAAAAAAATAACACTAAAATAGGATATTTTTATTAATGTAATAGATTATATATAATATATTATCATCTTATGAACGAAAAAATAAAAGAGGATACTTCATTCTCGTATGACCCAAAGATATCTCAATAAATAATAAATTAGTGGGAATATCATATCATTAGTAAAAAATATCTCATATCAGAAGTTCATAACCCCCCTGACCTAGTCTCCAAAATTGTCCTCCCCAAGTTCATGCACATTAATAATGATATTTTATTTCTCCAAATACTGTTTTCTTTTTCTTTTTCAAAAGCAAAACAAATAAAGAATTTTTTTTTACTTTTATTGACACTTATATATTACACATAAATTTCTATCTTGTATGAAAATGTTTTTAGAGACTTTTCTTTGACAAATATTTTTTTTAGAATTTTTTAATTTTTTATATAATTCAATTTTTATTTATCATAATTATTAAAAAATAAATTTTAATATTTTAAGATAAATTATTAATAAATAAATTACTGTAATATAATTATTTATCATAATTTTAAAATATAATTTATATGTATAAAAATATTTATTTATAAATTTTAAATATAATTTATATATTTAAACATAATACTAATTTATTACACATGACAATTTTTAAATTAAATGACTATATCAAATTTATTTGCATCACATACATCATTTATTCAACTAATATTCGATTTTTTTGAGTTATTAGAAAAACTTGAAATAAATATTAATGTTACTTAAGTAGTCTTCACCCAGACTATTAGTTATAAAATTACAAGATAATTAATTATTTTTTTTTAATAACTATTGAGTAATACATAATTATGTATGTATTATTTAATATTGATATGTTTAAGAAAAAAATAAATTAATTAAGGGTGATGTGAGGGATTTTGATTTTTAGTGGTCCAATTATTTTGATTTATAATCTGTGGTAGATGGTGATGTGATATTAAGTGCATGAGGTGAGAGCGACGGTGAGTGAAATACATTGTACATGGACCAACATTCTGATATTGGAAATGAGGCGATGGATCTCTTCCTTTCCACTCCTTGTCTCTTTGACAAATACAAAACTAATGATGATACCTTCTGTCCTTCGTTCTTATCCAACATTTATTTTATTTTATTTTATTTTATTTTTACTCTCTATTTAAATTGATTTATTTATTTTTTATAATTTTTATTTAAAATTTACTGAAACCAATAATAAAACTTGAACTCAATTATGTGTGACTTTTTTAAATTTTTATTAATTTTCCTAATATTTTATATGATAATATTAAATCATTTTATATTTATAGGAGAATAACATATTCATTTTTATTTAATATATAATACTTTTATCTCATGTTATTATATAAATTATTTATTCATTTAGTCGATGATTAATTTTTACTAAAAAATTAAATTAACTATTTTTAATAATTTGTTTTTAATCTGTTTATTTATAAAACTCAAATTTATCAAGTTTAATTTTATTCAAGTCACTTATTTATTGGTTTATTTAATAAGTAACAAAAAGATTTGAAAAAAAATTATAAGGATTTAATATTATTTAATGGTGTTAATTTTATTTTGTTGAGATAATTACATTATTGATATAAAATATTTATTTTTATTCATGATTAATTTTCATAAAAAAAATCTCACTAATCAAATTTAATCGAGTATTTTTCATTAATTACATTTTATTCATTCATTCTATTTAAACTCAAAACTTTAATTAAAAAGACTAAATTCAATTTTATTGAGACTAATGACTTGATATTATTAAATACATTATTATCATACCTTCATTTGTTATCATAAATTTACATGTGATATAAGTAAAACCAAATGTAAAATAGTATTATTATATTTATCAAATGTAATATAAAATCAATTTACATAATGATTGAATAGAATATTCATTAAATATAATATACATTTATTAAATGAATAACGTCTACGATTATAAAATTTGTTAAAATTGTGTTATTAAACAAAATGTAATATTATTTTAATTTTATGAAGGTAACTTCTACGATAAAATTACAGAATTTTAGTACTTTTACATTGAAAGTTATATAGACACTATAACTTATTACCATGTTAATTCTAATATGGGTTAAATGTTAATATATTTATTTTTTAAAATAAATAATTATTAAAAATAGATTGAGCTTTTATCTTCTCATTTTCTTCTTCGTATTTTTTTTACTTAATTATGCTTTTAATTCCTATCATTTTATTATATAATTCACTCATATATTTAATTGTTTATATATAATTTTCATACCTTTATTATAATTAGGTTCCTTACCATAAAATTCTCTCTCATAATTAACACAAACCTTAATTTAGGAACATATTCAATAAAAATATGTCTTATTATAAGATATATGAGAGAGTTAAATAATAATTTTTAGATTATAAATAAAAATAATTAGTGATTGAGATTAAAACTTGATCATAGACATTAAATTATAAATTTATTATCATTTTTACTTCCACAATTACCATAATTACTACTGTTGTTGTTATTGCCATGTGAGTGTAATGATGATTATAATGATGACAACAATAATAATAATAATAATGGTAGTAGTGATAGTAACGACATTAATACTATTATTGTCACCATACATTGTCTCTGTCAATGTTATTATTGTTGTCATCACCACAATCACCTCTCATAATTAGTGATGATAATGATAATAGTGATGATTATGACAATAGTGATGATGATGATAATGATAAAGTAAAAGATGGTAACAATCATGAATGTATCATCATCAATAATAATCTTATGAGTTAGTGTCTATAATTAAGTTTTAATCACATGTCACATTCATTAATTATTTTTAGGCTTAAATATGTTTTTAGTCCCTCAAATTTAAGACAAATTTGTTTTTAGTCCCTCAAATTTAAAACTGTTGTTTTTAGTCCTTATAATTTTTAAAAAGCTTGTTTTAGTTCCTTAAGTCACCAATAACATATTTAAAAATGACTAATTAAGACAGTTATGTAATATCAATCAAATTTAATGTGATATTTTAACTAATAGACATACCAATAGGTAGATTTTATGCAATAATATTTGATAAATTTCTTAACATGCATTACTTACCTTCCATATTTCATCATCTGTGTACTGTCCAATTGGATCAACGTTGCTTCTGACAGTTCCTTCAAAAAGAACGGGTTCCTGAGGAATGATACCAAACCGTGATCTAAGATCATGCAGCCCCAAAACGGATATGTCAATACCATCAATGATTATTTTGCCTCCTGAAGGTTCCACCAGCCTAAAGAATACTTGAACTAAAGTTGATTTTCCGCTTCCAGTTCGACCAACAACACCAACCTTTTCACCTCCACTAATGCTTAAACTAATGCCTTTAAGAACCAGGGGAGTGTTTGGACGATACCTGACCTGTTCACCAGAACCTCAACTCATCATAACTATTTTGCTCAACGAAAACTAATAATAGAAAACTCAACATTGGGAAATAGTGCAAGCTTAATGTCTTGAACCAATAGAAATCAATGAATTATTTAACAAATACAAACTTCAATAGTTTCTTAGTTACGGCCGGTGATTTTCTTCTATCATAATTGAATATTTACTTTGATAATATGTGTAAATGTATATTAATGAAATCTAAATGCAAGTACATATTACTAAGGTAAGTCTCCAATTTTGATCAGAAAACAACACTAATTACGTCTAAAAAAATGTACCTAAATCTTGTTCATACATAAAGGACATGACTTTTAACAAGTATTATAAGCATGTTTGAATATAAGTGTAGAAGAGTTTTTATTCCAAAAATAAAAAGTCTTTTAAAATAGAAAAACTCTCTGAAAACTCTTTTAAGTTTATATCCAAATTGGTTCTATATTCAAAAAGGCAAGAATACTAAGGGTATGAAAATGTAGAATAATCACTTTCATATTTGTTCATACTCAGGTTACCTGCAAGCCTTTGATATCTACATTGCCTTGACCTGGCCAATTTGAAGGAGGCAGACGATCCTTGATATTCCACGCTGGTTCCGATGGAATATCTGTGAACTGCTTTATCCTCTCAACAGACACCATTTTGTTTTCGATAATACAGCTCATGTATACAGACCAGAACAAGACAGCGTTTAAGGACATCCCATAAGAGAGAGTTAAGCCAACATTTTCTACATCAAGCAGAACAACTTAATCAGTTTATTATATTAATAAAATTGACAGCGACATAAATATCACAGGTTTACAAAATAAGCTACTCAACATTATCCAAGATAAAATATACAACGTACGTAAGACTGCAAGATACTATAATTTTAACTGATTTCTACACAGACACACAGGAATAAGAAATGAGTAATTTGAGGAACTATTATTATAATGACAATGGGTAACTAATTTATAAACAGACAATAGACAGACAAGTATAGAATTCGTTTCGTGTCAGTTTACCAGGCTTTATGATATTGCTGGGTAAGATGATCATGAACATGGCAGAAATGCAAAAGACAAAGCTTCCAAGCAATTCTAAGCGTACTCCCAACCATTCGTTAGAACTGTAGTTGTGGAAATCCATTCGCAAATTAGCATTCACCCGTTTGAGATTTTCTTCACAAAATTTATTTTGATTTTTGAATGCACGGATTGTCATGACCCCTGCAATGCTTTCAGAGAAGTAATGAATAACTGGTGCTTTGGTAATTGAATCCATGCGAGTTAACTCCCGAGATGATGCAAGATAGTAACCCTGAAAACACAGAAATCGTTAACATAAAGTATATAAGAAATATTCAATTGCAAACAAATTACATTCTGACTAGTGACTAATATGTCAACGTGAATATGGTGGTTACATTCGAATTTCCATTTATTCGTGTTACTAGATGAAACAAATCTTCGATTTTACACATTGGCAATCAAAGAAATTAGAAAACCAATGCACTTGACAATCAGGGTAATAACATCCATACCCGGTACCATATATTCAACCAAAGAAGAGGAATTATCAAAAACACTGTTGGCCAAGAATTTTGACAGGTGATGATGAAGATGCTGAGCACTGTAATGTACATAGCCATAACAACTCCCGTGAACAAGGGGAGAAGGACATCAACATTGGTCTGATCAGTGGATGCCTGTACAAGTTAAAAAAAAAAAAAAAATAGTCAATAACATAAGTGTGTGATTAACATATGAAATATAAAAGAGTATTTCAATAAGGATTAAATTCTGACATATAATGAACGTTCAACACAGCATACTGCGTTAAGTCCTTACCCTACTTAGAATTCTCCCGGATGGCGTAGTGTCAAAGAAAGACATGGGTGCATGCAAGATGCTACGAAGAATTTGTGTGAATAAAGTTTGTGCTGTCTTTAGCCCCCAGAGTGTAAACAAGTATGTTCTTGCCGATACCAAAATAATTGAAACAACAGCAATAATTGCATAGATGGACATGAACAAAGAAGGGTTAAATATTTTAGCACGTTCTTCTGAGGTTTCATATGCCAGCCAATAATCACTCGCCATCAAGGATGCTTGCCATAACATTGAAAGAACTAATACTAGTGTAACGCCCCACCACCCAAAAGCCTCAGTGAGGTAGAGTTTGTAGATATCTAAGCTCACTTTGCCGGTTTCTTTCCCCTCTTCTTTGATGAGTTTAGAACTTTTCTTGCTAGACTCAGGTTGATCAAGAGAATTGCTTTCACCATTGGCTACCTTGAGTTCAGAAGCTGCTTCTGGAGATTTCGTTGGTACGTTCAAATTTTCACCAGGTATGACCCCACCCTGCTCTACCAGTTCCATGGAGGTCTCGTGTGCAACTACCAGAGCTTTAAAATCCATTCCAGAATCTAATATATCATTGTACTTCCCTGATTGAACTATCACACCGTCCCTCATCACCTTTAGCAAGCAAATACAGAAGTGTTTGAATTAATCTCCGAATCAAATTGAAGATTAAAACAGATGAAGGATGATAATATGAGAAAAAAGACTTACTAATATGCGATCCACGTTATGTAGGAAATCTACTTGGTGTGTTACAAGAATAGTGGTCTTGTCTTTTAGAGCTCCCCTCACACATTCCTGCATGAAAGTCATAAGACAAACATTAAATATCATAATGACATTATCACAAAAACACTTGAGAGTCTTGACAAAGTTTTGAACTTAAACCTCTTCAATTAGTAACCTATCAAACTTAATTATATGTTATTTCTTAATGTAACAATTCAATATAGATTACTTAAAATTTTCAAGCAACAAACTAGCAAAAGCCTGATTCTATTCAGCAATATACGAATGAGTAAAATTGTACTTAAAAACATAACCAACTTGAGAATAACCACCTTAAATATTTCAGAGCCAGTATGAGCATCAACAGCACTGAAGACATCATCAAGAAGATATATATCACAGTCTTGATAAACGGCCCTGGCAAGTTGTATACGCTGCTTCTGGCCTCCACTCATGTTGATACCACGCTCTCCAATTTCTGTCTGGTCCCCATAATCCATCAGTTCCAAATCTCTCTCCAAACAACAAACTTTGATAACTTCATTGTACCACTGCCTGTTCATCGGTAAACCAAAGAGAATGTTTTCTTCAATGGTCCCATTCTGAATCCATGATGTTTGAGCAACATAGGCAACACTCCCACTAACCCGAACCTGTCACATAAATATATTATCATTAGAATCAGAGTCAACTATAAACATCCTCAAGTAAAAAAAAATAGTTCTAATATTGAACCAGAAATCGTACCTTTCCAGAAACCTTACGCATCTCTCCAAGAATTGATGCTAGAAGAGATGACTTTCCAGACCCTACAGTCCCAACGATTGCTGTGAGCTCCCCCTTTTTGATCTCCAAGTTAATATTTTTCAAGTCCTTTAGCAAGCTATCGTCATCCCAACTAAAAGTCCCATCTATGATTTCCACTGCTGTTTGTCCACCACAGCCTTCCACTCTCTCAACTGAATCATTCAACAATTCCCTGCTCAACATGAACTTATCTAACCTCTCCAGTGATATCATTGCTTGGGAAAGAGATATCATAGACTGTGGGAATGTCCTAATAGGCTCCTGCAACAGCTTGAACACAGTTGTAGCGGTGAAGACCGTGGCTGCATCAAGTTTAACTCCAAGCAACATAGCCGTACCAAACGTGATAGTTGAAATCATCAACGGCGTGCTCCACATCACAACAATAGTGCTACTAATTGAGAACATCAACTTTGAGAGCCACCCATACTCCGTGGTACGGAAATCCAAAATTCTCTGGTTAAAATGATCCTCCCAGGCCTGAAACTTGATCACACGCATATAATTAAGCATTTCATTCACACCCTTCATTCTTGAGTCACGGTTCGTCATCACATTGAATTGGAATGTGTTGTTCCTTCGATTACCAATCAGGGAATACACAAAAACACAAACAAGACCAAAAAAAGCCGTGATTACTGAGGCACCTAAGCATTTATAAAGTATAACCAAGCCAATACCAACTTGAATCGGCATCATCCATATGGCATGTAACTGAAGCATCATGTCAGAGAGTTGCTGAGTATCAACAGCCATGTAATTCACAATGGTCCCAACCCCATGATCCTGCCGAGCAGAGAACGATAGCTTTAACCCCTTTCTATACAGAGAAGGGATAAGAGTGGACCGTATAAGCATCCCAAGCTTCTGAGCATTGAAGTTGAAATGATGTGTTGCCATGACTTCAATGAACTTAGCAACGAGAAGAATCAAGACGAGGTAGTATCCTTCATACGGAGAGCTTCTCTTCCCTGAAGTGAAATCAACGAAACTTTGTATGAGAACTGGTCCCACAAACATGACACACATCCTAATAATTGCAAGGAACGCAGTGAAGGCTAACTCCTTCCAAAAGCACCGAAGCAAAGTGACTCTAACCGGATGCTTCGAATTCTCGTTTGATTTAGGCCATTTTGATTCAAAAACAGATGACATCCTCTCAGCTCTATGCTCAGGAGAAAGCGTTGGAATCTCATCAATCTTCAACGCCGACTTGTACCCTTTACGCAACAAGGGGTTTATCCAAATCCAAAATGCCTTGGATAACACAGAAGCTGAAGCATAACCAGTAACCTCGGATTTTCCCTCGTACAACTTCGTTTCCTCGTCAACAAGTGGTCTTGTTTCCTCCGACAAAACAACGCCGGTGGCTCCCTTAACCGCCACAAAAAACAGAAACAACGACAGAGGGAGTGAAACAAAAGAGACCCCATCGTCCACCTTGAAGCCTTTAGTTTCATCCACGTCCACGGAGACCAAACGAATAACAGCAGAAACGGCAAAGAATAAAATGACAAAGAAATTGACAATCCAATAAACTCGAACCGATCGAGGGTGTGTAACTGCTTCAAATCTTTTCTCGTGAATGATTAACACTGCAAGCACGGCATGTGTTATGGCCTGGACCAACCAAAACACCTCATCAACTTGCTTCCATTGCACCTCGGAGGAGGAGGTTCTAAAGGCAAAAACACAAGCAACAGTGTATAGTACAGTCAAAACAACCGCCGCAGTTAAAGTAAGCTTAAACCTTATAGTTGTTGAGAAAATGGGTGGGCTTTTTCTGATGAGTGGTCTGTGTAGTTGGGTGTGAGAAGCGTCATTGGAGGTGAACCTCTTCCATAGCTTGGTGACAGCAAACACCAAGAGAAACAAGAGGAGCACGACATCAACGAAGGATAATATCGCTCTCTGAGGACATGGTGAGAGGAAGATAAATCCCAACCATTGAAGCAGAGTTGAGAGAAACGTGTCCCCTGAGTTTTGTTTCTCAGGGAATGCACATGAGAGGGATGTGAAGGACATGTTTGTGCTCCCTGGAGAAACTGCACCTTCAACCATGCTCTCACTCACCAAACTCAAGGTCTCTGCTACTTCTTCATGCACCTCTCAGAATCACCAGTGTTATTTTAACATTAATGCTAGATGCTGTACATGTACCAAAACATTATGCACCAATTTGAACCCGTACATGGGAATAAGTTTTTTTTGGTTAATCAACAAATTAAATGATTAAAATTTCAATTATTAATTACTTGTTAGTAGTTATCAAACACTGCATGCAAGTGAATTAATCTTAATGAAAGGTATGGAGTTTGAGTCTCCTATTCAGCTAGTTTTTTTTATAATTTTATTATTCATTCATGTAACGTATTAATTTATCATCTTCGCTCATAAGTAATTTTTATAATTATATTTTTTTATCTACAAGACTCTAAACAATGAGTTAAATATTTAAAAATAAAATTTGTTATTCATAATAATATTTAATTCGTGTAAGATTTATTTAACTTGCGTCGGGTGAAATATCTTAGATTATACCAAAAATAGAAAAAGGAAAAAAGTGTGACAAAATTGTAGTAGTGATCTTGAGAGTGAAGAGAGGTCACAGCTCACATGGGAGTGAGAAGAAAAGGTTTGAAGTCCTGATAAGGAAAAAAGAGTGATGTGATGTTATTAGGGTGTAGCGAAAAGTTGTATCTTGAACTTGGAATATCCTTTTTGAGAACAACACTCCTTTTGCCAACACGTGAAAGCAAAATCTAAATTAATTAGTGTGAGCAAATTTGGAAAGGTGCAGAACAAAACTGAAACGGTGTTCCTTCGCGTTGCTCAGCGGGCTACGTAAGTAAGTTCACGGACTACCTTAAAATGACTGGTACCTTTGTAGACAAAATTAGTCATCCTGTCTCTCTTTTCTTTTTACAGACAACCAATTACCTTTCCTCATTTATGCTTTGTATGCATATGGAGAGAAAAAGAAAGGGAAATAAATTAATAACATAATTGATTTAATATAAAATAAAATAAAATCTGTAATTATTTGATAAAATCAAGTTAGGAAAGAATATTGTGAGTTTTTTATAAACACTATTATATATGATTAATTGCATAATTTATTATCATTGAAACATAGTTGAATATGATAGGTTTCTAATAAACACATGACATATAATAGTGACCACTATATTAACTTAATAATTTTACATATTATTTCCTAAATTTCACAAGAATTTCTTCAATTAAGAAAGAATAAAAAATAATGTTAGACATGCTTTTAATTTCTCGCAATTTTTCTTAAATACCCTTCACTGAACATAGGTGTTTTTTTAATCCACTCTAATCATTTCCTCCGTGTTAAATCACCCCATCAAATAGAGGTATAAAGTTAGGATTAAACTTTCCGTCTATAAATATTATAAAATATGTAATATTTTTTCATAATAATTTTTAGAACAACAATAAAGGGATAATAATAACAAAATACTATGATAAGTATATATAAACGTTTACTCTTGAATATATGATTATATGTATAAAAAAATTATTTATTAAAAGGTTAATTTTTTAAATAAATTTCAATATATCCAGAATTAATCATTTACTCTTGACTAGGAATAGTCTGAATTCCAAATTAAAAACTGATGAGAAATTTGAACATTTATTTGAGTATGTATATGCTTTTGTATACGTAAACTTTTTTATAATATTTATATTGAAGATGAATTTTAATTAATTGACCTCAAGAAAAATTAAACTGACAACGCAAAACTTTTTAGATTTTAATACAAAAAAAAAAATTGTTATTAAAAAGTGTTACAGTAATTGCGGGTGAAAATTGAAGCAGGAGAGAATCTGAATTCACTGGCATTTCTTTTTTAACAAAAATTATTAATTGCGTTTATATTAATATTTCATTTATTAATATAATGAATTTTCTAATTCTTTAAATACTATGATTTACAAGATATTCATTTTTTCTAATTTTAGAGATATATAAATATTTATTTAACAAAATAAATGAAAAAATCGGGAAATATATGACAAAATAGGGATAAATAAATAAATGATAACTTTAAAAAATCGATCACTAAATTGTTATCCTAAAAAGTTTAAGTTTAAAGAAAAGATATTTAAAATATAAATAAAGTCTCAAATCATTAGAATATGAAAATAAATATAGGTTTATAGTTACAACAAAGTCTCTATTGATATAAGATCGTTTGAGTGATTACCAAAATTAAATTGATGAGAATTTAAATTTAAAGTAAATAATATTATACTAACTAACATAAAGATATGTGTGTGAAACTCAAGTATAATAATAATTACTTATATTTTAAAGAATCTCTCATGAAATTAACAAGAGTAAATAATTATTTCTTTAAATATTAAATTAAATAGAAATTAAAGGAGGAAATTTTGATAATTAATTGTGAAAATAAAAATATTTTAAAATTACTTAATTTAGACAAAGTTTAATTTCTAAGCAAAATTCTTCTTGAGATATATGATTAAGATTTTGAATTTTCAATATTAATAGTTCAAAAATAATAATTTTGGCAATTGATAATGTTTAATAATTTTAAATTATTTTTAAATAATTAAGAACTTAAAAATATAAATATCAATAATTTTTACATAAAACATGGATAAAATAATATATATAAAAAAGAAGAGAAAAATGGAGAGAGGAAATAGAAAGAAAGGAAACTTTGTGTAAGTGGAAGAAAAAAAACTCTCAATTGAAATCAATCAAAATTTGACATATTCGTTATATATAAAAAATCCCGATAATTCTGATTGAAAACCCCAATAATTATTTATATTATTGAAAAATTCTGTTAGTTGATAGCAGAAAATCAACTTGTGAGGTAGAAATTGTCTCTTCTTATATGTTATATTTTAATAAATAAATGTGAAATTTTTAACAAAAATTATCATAAAAAAATAATTAATAGATAATTATCAAATGGGGACTTGTGAATAATTTAAATGATTATACTTATACCCAATAATAAACGAGGTTAGGGTGAATATTAAGGTATTTGATTTGCATGTAACTTTTGATTAATTTTCTCATTGACAACTAATATATTTATTATGTAGTAAAAATGGAAGAAAACATAGAATATACTAAAAAATATCAAAATCATTTTATAAAAATATAAAATATATGATTACTAATTACGTTTCTTAATTTGTATAACACAAAATTAAATGACTATTAAGATTTAAGAACAGCGATAATAATACATGAAATTAATGAAATATAACCCTCATGATTCTTATTAGTTTTTGTTCTTAATTAAGACTTGTGATGCAATTAATGTATCAAAGATATACTCTTCTTGATGCACATGGTGATAGATACTCCTTCCGATTTACTATGCAGTTTTAGAAACTAGAAAATGTTAAAAAATAATGATGTTTTCATTTTTTAATGTAATATTAATTATTATTATTATTATTATTATATATATATAACATGAAAGGGTGTGTGGAAGGAAGAGTGAAAATTATAAATTTATCATGATGTGTGAAAGTTACATTTCTAGATCAAACAAGTGGTGAAGGCAGATATGTTATATTCCATTGGAGCGGTTGGCATACTCTTGAACTAATGCCCCAAACAGAGATTGCCTCTGGAGCAAGTTGGAAGGCTTATCAAACTCTTTCGCTCGCCCTAATACAAAGACAACAAGAACATATTTAAGATAAGAGGATCATTTAGTGAGCAATGCAATAATGCAATGCAAAGATGATATCATACCTGCATCTACAACTAAAACTCTGTCACAGTCCATAACTGTGGGTATTCTGTGAGCAATGCTGATGATGGTACATGCTGCAAAGTCCTCTCTAATGATCTTCTGAATCACACCATCCGTTTGAGAATCAACAGAAGCAGTTGCCTCATCCATGAACAAGAGACGGCTTCGCTTAAGCATAACCCTCCCTAGACAAAGTAACTGTCTCTGCCCTACACTCCAGTTCTCTCCATTATCCACCACTGAGAAAAAAGTTCAAACAACATTCCCTTTAGTAAAATATCAAACCGAAGCAGCTCAATCAAAAGCATGTTTGGAAACAAGTTAAAAGCTCTTTAAAGAGCTTTTCTACTAGTTTTAACAGAAAAACTCTAAAAAGTACTTTTAAGCTTATATATCCCAATAGACTCGAAATATGTTAAAAGTCTCTACCTAAAGAGTCAAGTTTTTCAGGCTTAGCAGCAACAACCTCTTTTAGTCGACAGCGTTCCAAGCTCTACACAATAAAAAAGCTATTATGAGACCAATGCATTGAAAATGATAATGATGCAGGTAAATACATTTCAATTGGCACATGCATTACCTTCCATATTTGATCATCTGTGTACTGTCCAATTGGATCAATGTTGCTTCTGACAGTTCCTTCAAAAAGGACTGGCTCTTGAGGAATGATACCAAACCGTGATCTAAGATCATGAAGCCCCAAGAGGGATATGTCAATACTATCAATTACTATTTTCCCTCCTGAAGGTTCCACCAGCCTAAAGAATACTTGAATCAAAGTTGACTTTCCGCTCCCAGTTCGACCAACAACACCAACCTTTTCACCTCCACTAATGCTTAAACTAATGCCTTTAAGAACCAGAGGAGTGTTTGGACGATATCTGACCTGTTCACCAGAAGTTCAAGTCATCATAACTGTGTTGCTCAAAACAAATATCAATATTGGGAAATAGTGCCAAGGATAGTAACTTAAACCAATAAACATAAATAAATTATTTTGCAAATAGGTTGGTAACTTTCGACAATTATCGTATAATCAAATTGTTTAACTCAAGTTACCTTCAAGTCTTTGATATCTACATTGCCTTGACCAGGCCAAATTGAAGGAGGCAGATGATCCTTGATTTTCCATTCTGGTTCCGATGGAATATTTGTGAACTGCTTTATCCTCTCAACAGACACCATCTTGTTTTCGATGAAACAGCTCAAGTATACAGCAAAGAACAAGACACTATTTAAGGACAACCCATAAGAGAGAGATAAACCAACATTTTCTACATAAAGCAGAACAATCCAGTCAGTTTATTATGTAAATACACGCAAGAGAATAATTGACAGCGACATGAATATCACATGTTTACAAAATGAGTTACTCAACATAATCCAGGGTAAAATATATATTACACAATGCAAGACTGCAAGGTATTATTGTAGTGAAAATGTGTAACTAATTTATAAACAGACAATAGACACGGCAGTTTAGAATTCCTTCAGTGTCAGTTTACCTGGCTTTATGATACTGCTGGGTAAGATGATCATGAACAAGGCAGAAACGCAAAAGACAAAGCTTCCAAGCAATTCTAAGCGTACTCCCAACCACACATTACAACTATAGTTGTGGAAATCCATACGCAAATTAGCATTCACCCGTTTGAGATTTTCTTCGCAAAATTTCTTTTGCTTTCTGAATGCGCGGATTGTCATGACTCCCGCAATGCTTTCAGAGAAGTGATGAATAACTGGTGCTTTGGTAATTGAATCCAACCGAGTTAACTCACGAGATGATGCAAGATAGTAACCCTGAAAACACAGAAACCGTTAACATAAAGTATATTAGATATGTTAAATTGAGAACAAATTACATTCTGACTATTGACTAATATGAATTTTATCTGTCAAACAAGTGAGTACAGTGGTTATTGTTCACCGCATTATGAAACACAGGCATTCGAATTAATTCCATATTAGAACCAAAAACTCTCTAAATAACTTCATCACATCAGAAGTTGTATTGTATAAATTAATTGATTCATGTTAGTAACAAATTTTCGGGTTTTACATATTAGCAACCAAAGAAAGGCAAAACATTTGACAAGCAGGGCATTCACATTCATACCCGGTACCATATATTCAACCAAACAAGAGGAATTATCAAAAGCACTGTTGGCCAAGCATTTTGACAGGTGATGATTAAGGTGCTGAGCACTGTAATGTACATGGCAATAACAATTCCCGTGAACAAGGGGAGGAGGACATCAACATTGGTCTGATCAGTGGATGCCTGTAAAAGTTAAAAAATAAAAATAAGTCATTACAAGTGCGTGATGTACATATGAAATATGAAATCAAAGTTTATATCAATAAAGATTAGATTCTTCTATTTAAAGAATTAATGAAGCATAGTTGGGCACTAAAGTTCTTACCCTACTTAGAATTCTCCCAGATGGCGTAGTGTCAAAGAAAGACATGGGTGCATGCAAGATGCTACGAAGAATTTGTGTGAAGAAAAGTTGTGCAGTCTTTAGCCCCAAGAGTGTAAAGAAGTAGGATCTTATCACTACCAAAATAACCGAAATGGCAGTAATAATTGCATAGATGGACAAGAACAGAGAAGGGTTAAACACTTCAGCACGTTCTTCTGAGGTTTCATATGCCAGCCAATAATCACTTGCCATCATAGACGCTTGCCATAACAAAGAAAGAACCAATACAATTGTAATACCCCACCACCCAAAAGCCTCAGTGCAGTATAGTTTATACACATGTAAGCTCACTTTGCCGGTTTCTCTCTCCTCTTCTTTGATAAGTTTAGAACTTTTCTTACTAGACTCAAGCGGGTCAACAGAATTGCTTTCACCATCGGTTCCCTCATAATTAGAAGCTGCCTCTGGAGCTTTCATTGGTTTGCTCAAATTTTCACCAGGTATGACCACACCCTGCTCTACTAGTTCCATGGAGGTCTCATGTGCAGTTACTAGGGCTTTAAAATCCATTCCAGAATCTAATATATCATTGTATTTCCCTGATTCGACTATCATACCGTCCCTCGTCACCTTTAGCAAGCACATAAAAAAGTACTTGGATTACTCTCAGAATCAAATTGAAGATTAAACAGATGAAGGATAACAGCGTGAGAAAGAGAGACTTACTAATATAAGATCCACATTATGTAGGAAATCAACTTGGTGTGTTACAAGAACAGTGGTCTTGCCCTTTAGAGCTCCCCTCACGCATTCCTGTATAAAAGGCATACGACAAACATTAGAAAATTCATAAATTTTTAGTAAATGGCAGAATATCTCGACTTTGTTTACGATGTCAAATAAATTGCATCATGACAAAAACACTGAAGAGTCTTGACAAGGTTTTGAGCTTAAACCTCTTGAATTAGCAACCAATCAAACTGAATTACATATCATTTCTCAATGTTACAATTCAATAAAGAATCTATGAATTCAAACTAGCACATGCGTGATACCGTTTAGAAATATACGAATGAATAAAATTATATTTAAAACACTTCAACATTAAGAATGACCTTAAATATTTCAGAGCCAGTATGAGCATCAACAGCACTGAAGACATCATCAAGAAGATATATATCACAGTCCTGATATACCGCCCTGGCAAGTTGTATACGCTGCTTCTGACCTCCACTCAGGTTGATACCACGCTCTCCAATTTCTGTCTGATCCCCATAATCCATCATTTCCAAATCTTTCTCCAAACAACACACCCTGATAGCTTCATTGTACCTCTGTCTGTCCATTGGTAAACCAAAGAGAATATTTTCTTCAATAGTCCCATTCTGAATCCAAGATGTTTGTGCAACATAGGCAACACTCCCACAAACCCGTACCTGTTACAAAAATATATAGTTATAATCAGACTCAACTGCGAACATTCTTAAATAAAAAATAATTCTCAATTCTAAACCCAAAATTATACCTTTCCAGAGATCTTGCGCATCTCTCCAAGAATTGACGCAAGAAGAGAGGACTTTCCTGACCCTACAGTCCCAACAATTGCTGTAAGCTCCCCCTTTTTGATCTCCAAATTAATATTTTTCAAGTCCTGCTGTGTGTTATCATCATCCCAACTAAAAGTCCCATCAATAATTTCCACAGCTGTTTGTGCACCACACCCTTCCTCTCTCTCAACTGAATCATTCGACAATTCCCTGCTCAACATGAACCTATCTAACCTCTCCAGTGATATCATTGCCTGTGAAAGAGATATCATAGACTGTGGGAAGGTCCTAATAGGCTCCTGCAAGATCTTGAACACAGATGTAGTGGTGAAGACCGTGGCTGCATCAAGTTTAACTCCCAGCAAAACAGCCGTACCAAACGTGAGAGTTGATACCAACAACGGCGTGCTCCACATCACCACAATATTGCCGCAAATTGAGAACATCAACTTGGAGAGCCACCCATACTCCTTCTCGCGGAAACCCATAATCCTCTGGTTGAAATGTTCCTCCCAGGCCTGAAACTTGATCACGCGCATGTAATTAAGCATCTCATTCACAGCTTTCATTCTCGAGTCACGGTTCTTCATCACATTATACTGGAAGGTGTTGTTCATACGAGTGCCAATCACAGCAAACACAAAAACACCAAGAAGACCAAGAAAAGCAGTGACCACCGAGGCACCTAGAGAATTGTAAAGCAGAAGTAAGCCAATACTAACTTGAAGTGGCATCATCCACACAGAATGTAACTGAAGCATCATGTCAGAGAGTTGCTGAGTATCAACAGCCATGTAATTCACAATGGTTCCAACTCCGTGATCTTGCCGAGCAGTGAACGACAGCATTAATCCCTTTCTATACAAAGAAGGGACGAGAGTGCAGCGTATAAGCGTCCCAAGCTTCTGAGCGTTGAAGTTGAAATGATGAGTACTCAAGATTTCAACGAACTTAGCAACGAGAAGAATCAAGACGAGGTAGTATCCTTCATATGGAGAGCTTCTCTTCCCTGAAGTGAAATCAACGAAGCTTTGTATGAGAAGCGGCCCCACAAACATGACACTCAGCCTTATAAATCCAAGGAATGCAATGAAGGCTAACTCCTTCCAAAAGCATCGAAGCAAGGTGATTCTAACCGGATGCTTCGACCTCTCGTTTGGCTTAGGCCATTTTGATTCAAAAATGGATGACATCCTCTCAGTTCTATGCTCGGGAGAAAGCGTTGGAATCTCATCAATCTTTAATGCAGATTTGTACCCTTTACGCAACAAGGGGTTTATCCAAATCCAAAATGCCTTGGAAAATAGAGAAGCTGAAGCAAAGCCAGTAACCTCAGATTTTCCCTCGTCAACAAGTGGTTCTGTTTCTTCTGTCCACAAAACAACGCCTGTGGATCCCTTAACCGCCATAAAAAACAGAAACAACGACAGAGGAAGCGAAACAAAAGAGACCACATCGTCCACCTTGAAGCCTTTGGTTTCATCCACGTCGACTGAGACCAAACGAATAACCGCCGAAACGGTAAAGAATAAAATGACAAAGAAATTGACAATCCAATAAACTCGAACCGATAGAGGGTGTGTAACGGCTTCAAATCTTTTCTCGTGGATGATTAACACTGCAAGCACCGCATGTGTTATGGCCTGGACCAACCAACACACCTCATCAACTTGCTTCCATGGCCCCTTGGAGGAGCTTCTGAATGCAAAAACGCAAGCAACAGTGTATAGTATAGTCAAAACAACTGTTACAGATAAGGTTAGCTTAAACTGGATAGTTGTAGAGAAAATGGATCTGTTGTTTCTGATGAGCGGTTTGTTGAGATCGATGTGGGACCCTCCGTCGGAGGTGAACCTTTTCCAAAGCTTGGTAGCAGAGAACACAGAGAGAAACAAGAGAAGTACGACATCAACGAAGGTCAACATCGCTCTCTGAGGACAAGGTGAGAGGAAAATAAATCCAAGCCATTGAAGCAGAGTTGAGAGAAACTTGTCCCCTGAGGTTTGTTTCTCAGGGAATGCACACGAGAAGGATGCGAAGGACATGTTTGTGCACCCTTGGGAAACTTCACCTTCAACTTTGCTCTCACAAACTCTACCTCTCTGCTACCTACTTCATGCACTTCTTCTACTATGTTGCTTTATGCTCTATTCTAATGGAAAAATAAATATTTCCAAATGTTCATATCTTTGCGGTTTAATTATGGCCTCAACTAAGTTCGGTGTACACCAAACTCTATTTAATGATGGAGTGACAGAATGGTAAAAACAAAAATGGAAGAGACGAGAGAAATTGTACATACACTAGTGGTACTGGCACGTAGTTGAGGCCTTCGTGGCCTCACCTAGTTAATAGTGTTTACAATTTCTCTTCTCACTCTTTTCCTATGACATTAGGTGATGACGAGTCAACACACCTTTCTTAACTAAAATTTATTAAAAGTAATAAAGTAATAAAATATTCATTAAATAAAAAGGAGATTTATTAAAAAAAACATTCTGATTTTTAATAAATTTTAAATAATTAAAGAAAGTGTATTGAAAAAATATATATTTAAGAGAATTTATACTTAGTTTAATGATAATAATTTCAACTAATACACAAATATATAATACTTCTAGTTTTAAAAATGTTGGAAATACTTTAAGTAAAATTTTATTTGAACAATTATATATAAATAATGCATAGTAAAATAATAAAATATTAATTAAAGTTATTGTATATTGTTCAAAAATATTTTTCAAGAAAGAAAAAAAATTAGACATAATTCAATAATATAAAACAAAATATAAAGATGACACAACTAATTAAGTTCATTCACTCTCATTAATTAGGACGTGAGATCGGATTCAACTTTTTTTATATAGATTCCTTTCATGTGGATTTGTGCTGAGAATATAATTATATACTACCATAATCTAATATTTTTCATCCAAAATATTATATCCATGAAGTCAAAATTTTATTGATTTAAGTAAATTTTGACTTAAATTCTTTTTGAAATGTTTATTTCAAGGTATGATATTACATTCTTAATTAAGAACCACATTTTTTTGAAACATTGTTATTAAGAATGTCATTCTTGGAAATATTTAAAAATGTGTTTGACAAAATTTCAACATTTCTAAAAATATTTTAAAATTTTTAATTAATTAAAATAAAATAAAAAAATAAATAAAAGAGTTAAAGAAGTTAGTTAAAATATAACTTCTAATTTTTATAAAAATACAATTTTCTTATTCTCTACCATGAGAGTAAAAATAAAATAAACCATGTCGTAAATTATAACTACTTTCCCACACATAAATAATATTCTTATATAATTTTTTAAAACTCCAAACAAACAAACATTAAAAAAAAAATTACATCTCAAACTTATATTCTCGAAAATAAAGTAAAACAAATACTTAAAAGTGTTGAGTTCCGAGTAAAAAAATGTAGGTGGAATAGAAAATATTAAAATAATCAAGTCATCTTGTAAAATTTAGTACTCCCTTTCAATTATAATTTTTTATGTTTTAAAAAAAATTAATGTTTTACATATTTTAAGTTATATTAATCATATTTTTAATGTATATTCTTATTTGACAAATAACATTTATACTTCATAATCATAGTTATTCCTACTCTACACATTTTAAAATATTAAATGAGGTAAACTTAACATATTAGTAGTAAATATTTCTTAGAAGTTACTCCTCGTGAATCTATATATAAGCTATAAGCAAAAAATATTTAAATTTTTTGAACTCAAGTATAAATAAATTTCAATCAAATCAACTTTATTTAATATTTTCAACACAAAAATACCCCTAAAACAATAAATAAGAATATTATATATAGTAAATGTGATTAAAAACATTTTAATAAATATAGTGTCTAATACTGTAAAATTTAATTATGTTTGTTGACTTTATTGATTTAATTATTATTATGATTAGTTGTTTAATTATCGTAAAAATTCTAAGGATTTATGAATTCTCATGAATTTTATTGTGTAGGAATCGTTTTAAGTTAAGGTTAAGTTGACCAGTTGGGGATATTATATAAGATTTTTATTGAGATGTGAATTTCATAAATTCATTTTTTAAGAAGAGCTAAAGAGAATAACTATGGAGCCAGAAAAATTCCTTTTTCATCTAAGTCCCCAAAGAGTATTAGGAGTCTTTTCTTGAGTGAAGTCGAATAGCTATGTAGAGATTTAAAGCTTCTCGAGTTGAGAATCAGAGGGTGGACATTATTGTGCATAATTGCTTAGAGAATCTAGGTTCTTCATCTTTCCTTCTTCCTTCTTTTGTTTTTCTTGTGATTGAGGTAAGGAAAACTTATAACTTCTTTTGTTTTTCTTGTGATTGAGGTAAGGAAAACTTATAATTGATGGTTGTTGAGTTGGTTTTGCTGACTTTTGTACAAATGAATCTCTTAATGGCTATTTTGATTGAATTCAAGATTTAGAGTTGCTCATTTTGTGGTTTGTTTCATTTGGACATTTTGGAATAAAATTTACAATTTGAAATGGATAATGGTTAATGGTTGCATGTTAATTTTGATGCTAAAATTGAGTTGTTTGAGTTATATATTTGTGTTGTTATGCTTTGCATGTTAGTAATTTGTTGAGTTGTGGATTGAGCAAAAATACGATTTTGGCAAGTGCAAAAAAATCACTATCATGTTGGGTGCAACTTCATGGTGTCAAGTGTGATGCAGGTCAAAGGTTCTTTGGCTCACTAACGTTAAACGAATGATTGGTAGTATTGAGTGTGAGTTTGAGGAGAGTTTCTTAACTTAGTCACACCAAACGTAGGTTGAGGGGTGTGGGGCGTAATGACATTGAGTCCCAATTTGAGTGGTGTCAAGCGTGATCAAAGTAGTAACTCTCTGCCTAAATGATGTTGGACATAAGTTGAATGATACTATGTGTGAGTCAAGTAGAGGTTTTTCACTTAAACAAGGCTAGACGTAGAATTAGTTATGCTAGGCGTGATTGTCATAAGGGCTCTCTCTACCTAATCCACATCAGGCGTAGGTGGAATGGTATCAAGCATAGGTGAGTTAGAGCCTTTTTACCTTGATGATGTCGGGTGCAAGGAAAATGGCATCGGACGTGGGTTACCAAATGAAAATGCGTTGTTTATTTAATTAAATGTTGAATATGTGTGTAATAAATTAAAATCCTCACATGAACCATGTTGTTATGAGATTCTAATTAATTATGTATTGATCTATGATGATATATGATATTTTTGAGTTGTTTAAGTTGCAAGTTAATTATGAAAGCAAGTTGAACAATAATAACATTGTATAAAGTGTAATGTTGAAAGTAGTTGTGTTGTGATTGCTTGAAACATGTAATTGAGTTGTGTTGATTAACTTAAGATTAAAAAAGAAATGTTGTTTTAAGAAGATAAATATCTCATTGTGAGAATGTGGTGTTGTGATACTATACAAGCCCAGTTGTACTAAGTTACATAGGTTTGGTTATATATGTTAAGATCGTGACAAGTTAACATCCAAGTTGTCTTATTCCTAAAATGATTACTATACTTTTTTAGCTTAATTAGTAAAATCCGAAAAATCATGTGTTATGGATTGTTATCCAAAATTGTTGATCTAACCAATCCAAAAAGATCGCGTTATTAAATAGGTTTAGTAGGGTCAAACCATTTAAATCATTCACTTATATTGCAAAAGATCTTTTGGTTGAAATGTGCAACGATGCATCATGTAGTTGTGTTGATATGATGTGAAGATAATGTTTGTTGAAAGTTGTCATGTGTTGATATGTTGTAAAGTTGTGCTATAAATAGTGTTGTGAACTATTGTGTTGATTACATGTGTGTTGTTGAATGAGCCTGTATGTTGATCACATGTCGTGTTGAATAATTGTAAGTGTAGGTGATATGTTGAAGTGGTCGTATATTTTGTTTAACACTTCTATACTATATTGTTTCTTTTAAATATTGACTTACTGTTGCATTTTTCTTGTAGTTGAATTGTAATAATCATACTTGTTATGTAAGTAGTACAGGAACTGGCTAGAAGTTGTACACATCTTATGAGCCATGCTAGAAAATGACTTGGTTGTTTTGGAATTTGGATCCTCTCTTACAATTTTCTCTTTCCAGCCTCTCTCTAGCAACATTAATAATCATTGGATATATCTAATGGCTCAAATTTAATCTTATAATTAATATAATTTCTTAAATAATTTTTATAAGATTAAATTTGAGCCATTAGATATATCCAATGGTTATTAGTATTGTTGGAGATAAGTTGGAGAGAGAAGATTGCAGGAGAGGATCCAAATTTGTTATTTTGGAACTATTTTGATGTAATTGTTTTGTAGTTGTTGCTTGATCGATAACTATAATTTATGTTTTTAGTTTCGAATTTAGTGTGTATATATATGAATGTACAAGATTTATGTTGTGTTTCACTGAAAAACATTCATGATTTCTAATTGATTTTTTTTTCACACACGCACGCGCGCGCGCACACACACACACACATATATATATATATATATATA